ATGCTGTGTGAAACATGGGGAGAATTATGTCTCAAGAAAATTTTTTTAAAATGTAAACTTCCTACTAAGAAGACAGGATAAGATAGTGGTTAAGAGCACAGAGTAAGCTGGACATGGTGACTCATGCTTGTAATCCCAACACTTTGGGAGGCTGAGACAGGAAGATTGCTTGAGACCAGGAGTTTGAGATGAGTCTGAGCAATAGAGTGAGACCCAGTCTCTACAAAAAATTTAAAAATTATTAATAGCTGGGCATAATCGTGTGTACCCGTAGTCCCAACTACTCAGGAGGCTGAGATGGGAAGATCGCTTGAGCCCAGGAGTTTCAGGCTGCAGTGAGCTATGATTGCACTACGCATTCTACCCTGGGCAAAAAAATAAAAAGAGCACAGAATGTGAGCCCATCAAGGTTCAAATCTGAGCTCTACCATTTGCTCTCTGCAGGACCTTGAACAAATTAACCTCCTTATAACTCAGTCTCCTCTTTGGTAAGAAAGAGATAATAATAGTATCTGCCTCACTGGACTGTTAGGAATAGGAAATGAATTACCATTTACCATTTTAGAACAGTGTCTGGCACAAAATAAGTGCTATATAAGTGGAGACAGACCTAGAAACTATTTCTCTTTAGGTCATCTTGTATGGAAAGATCTCTAGCTACTCACCTCTGTGTGTTTGCTGCTATTTTAAAAGCTTGTAGACCCTTAAACTTTGACAACATCACTCAATATTTTATTGATTGCAAAGTAATGGGTGGCCTAGTGTCAGTGGCTACCAGTATCAGTCACTGGAGTCTGGTGCGTGGATGTGTATGTACACATGTGTGTATGACTTGAGAATAGGGTGTGGTATGTGGCTTCCACCTGTATAAAGAAGCACGAGAATTGCTTGAACCCAGTGAGCTGAGATTGTACCACTGCACTTTAGCCTGGGTGACAGAGCGAGACTCCATCTCAGAAAAAAAAAAAAAAAAAAGAAGAAGAAGAGAAAAGCAGAGTGTGCAATAGTCTGCAGAATTGAGTAATGCATGTAGAAATACCATCCTCTAGCTATTTGCTTGCTACCCCAGCGATCCCACTGGTGCTACACATTCCCCAGATGGCAATGCCAACCCTGTCTACTCATCCTGTATTACCAGCAAGTCTCTGTTCCTCGGTGAATTTCCTTTCCATTCATTTTCAAATGACTTTTCTGATATGAGCATTGTTGAATATGCACAAGAAAGAGCAAGACAGAGGCAGAGGTATGTGTGTGAATAGATTTGCATAAGTATAAATACAGTATATGTACCCATATTTAAATGATATAATGATAATATTGTGTTGCTATCTCAGAGTGAAAGCTAATTAATTCAGCTATTGAGATGATAATGATTTCTTTTTCAGTTAATACCAGAGTCAAAAAACCCTGCAGAATGGTTCTATGTACCATTCCTTTGACTCATCTTGGAAGAAAGAGTTTTATTCCGTTAACTATTATGCTGTCTGTCAGTATCTATGACAGTTTTAAAGGAAATAGTTCTTGGGGGGAACAGAAGATTATTAGTAGGAAGACTGACTCATGTAGGCTCAAGTGGTCATTTAGGTCATGATTTGGTATCAGGAAAAAAAAAGTCGTCTTTTTGCTTTTAGTCTTTTAAAATGCACGCTTTGGTATTTGCTCTCTCAATATCAACACTTATCTGTAGCACAAAGTCTTTTTTTAGACTTTATTTGGTTGGATTTGACATTTAGGAAAATGTTAAGATCTTTCCTACTGAAATTTACACCAGCTGACAAATTCACAAGCAAGTCCATGACTTTCTTAACCTTGACAGCTCTAACTTTTCCTTAAGCCTCTGTTTTTATATTTCATGAGTTACCAAACCTGATGTTCTCTCTGTTTCCTCCTTTCTATTCTATCCCACTTCAGTTCAGGCATTGGCTGCCTCTCAGTTGTATTATGGCAATAGTCTCCTGTCTCTAGTCTCTAATACCCATTCCACCTTTCTTCCCCTTGCTCCGAGGAGCTTCCCAACATGCAGGTTAGGTTGTACTCTCCCCCGTCAAAGCCTTTAATGGCATCTCTCTTTCAACATGGTAAAGACTCAACTTCTTTGCCTTGCATTCAAGGACACTTACATTCTGCTCCTACTACAACTGCTTACCATCTCCCACTAGTTCTCTCCATACTCTACCCTACCACCACCAAGATGGAGTATCTACCCTTTTTTGGAATTTTCATAACACCCGTGTTTGCTCATTTTTCTGAATGTCTTTCCTCTCTCATGAGCTATGTTTCTAAAACCTTACTTATTCTTTAAGGCCCAGATCAAATTCTATTTCCTTCACAGACCCTTCCCTGATTCTGTCTGGCTACTCTGAATTAATCAGGATCACTCCCAGTCTATACAATGTGCTTGAATTCTAGCAGTTGGGAAATCATCATATTATACTTACCTCATTAGAACAATTTTTAAGTGTCCTCTGTTGGAAAATTGTCATAAGAAATATGCAGCTCTACGTGGGTGAAATGTAATTGCTGCCTCTCCTCCTCAAATGTGGCACAATCTTTACAAGGATATGGTGTGGACCTGCTCTGTATTCCAATAATTTATTATTTGTTTGACTATCTTACCACTCATATTTTGTATTACGCTGTAAATTTACTTCTGTTTATCCCAATTAAGTATGCAACCCTAAAGACAAGGAATGTCTTATTCATCTTGGTATTTCCCAGGTCAGAGAATGCAGCTTTCAGATAGTTGGTACTTAACAGTAAATTATTTTACTCTTTTGTGATCCAAGGGTGGCATTTGTAATGTAGTAGTTAAGAGTACAGGCTTTAGTGCACGACTGCCTGCATTTGAACCTTCCTAGCCAATTACTAACCATGTGATCATGGCCAAAGTACTTAAACTCTCTGTACCTTTTCTTCATCTATAATATGGGGACAAATAATGCTATCTTCACCATAAAATTGATGTGAGAATTAAATCAGTAAATGAAGGTAAAGTAGTTCAAACAATAGCTACTAAGTGCTTAATAAATAATAGATATTATTCCAACAGTCTGTTAAAATAGGAAGGACTTGTCTCAATTTTGACAGAGGCATGAAGACACTAGAGGTTACATTCCAAGGTGAGCCCATCTGGCAGAAATTTCACAGTGGATATTCAATATTCAAGAACCAGTTAAACATCTCACTTATTTTGAGGGAATGAAGAGATCAGGAGTTGGAAATTATAGAGAGGTCTTGTAAAGATTTTGGAGCATGTGACTAGTGTACTGTGTGAATCTTACATCCCTACTGCAAAGGAGAGTGTTGGAAGTGGGAGTGTCTATCCCTCAGGCCACCACTAGAACATGTAGTAACTTTGTGAGAATTGGTAAATGGTTTCCCCTCTTGCTTCCAAAATATATACTAAAGGAGGTCCTATTGCCACAAGCCCAAAGAAAGAGTCTTCAAGACGATCACTTGAGTAGGTTGGCATGTATCCCCTGAAACTGACAGACATGGGGACTCTGTGTCTGATTTTCACCTGAGAAGTTGAAAGGCAGAAAGCCAGGTGGCTGACTGCTTGTGGATAAGTGGGAGATTTCTCTGCTCCACAGAGATTCTTAGATCAGAGAAAGCCATTATTGGGTTTTCATAAGTCCATGTCAAAAGAACCACATGGAATGACCTCAGTGTAAAAACTGTGGAGTGAATTGCCAAATTACTAGATGCTGAAGGGGACCACATACTATAGGCTAGAATAGAGAGGTATTTGCCCTCATCAAAAAAGTTCAGATGAGGCCAGGTGCGGTGGCTCACGCCTGTAATCCCAGTACTGTGGGAGGCTGAGGTGGGTGGATCTTTGAGATGAGCCTGGCCAACATGATGAGACCCCATCAGCACTAAAAATACAAGAATTAGCCGGGCGTGGTGGGTGGCGCCTGTAATCCCAGCTGCTCCAGAGGCTGAGGCAAGAATATCACTTGAACCTGGGAGGTGTAGACTGCATGAGCCAAGATTGTGCCACTGCACTCGAGCATGGGTGACACAGCAAGACTCTGTCTCAAAAAAAAAAAAAAGTTCTAAAGGACCCAACTCAATGGAGAAAGAGTCAACTTTCAAAACTTGCTATGCACAAACCAGTTTATAGCAATACCACGCAAGTAAGTGCCTTCCTGTCATTTCTTCTCTTATCCCTCACAGTCCTCTCAATATGCAACACTGCCTCCTTAACTCTGAAAGTGTCAGGAACTATGGTTAGTCAGATGGAGGAAAAAGCAGAAATTGGGGAAATGCAGAAGCAGAGCTGAAGCCGGTTACCTTCCTTCTTCACTCTAGGCATCTTACCTGTTAACAGGCTGCTATGCCTTCTCGGGGGGAGTTTGCTTTTAGCTCAAGGCTGGCATTTTTATTATTAGGCCAGGATGGCATATTAAGTACTGAATTGAAACCCTGAATGCAATTTTCTCCTTAATGCCTGGTTAACAGCAACTCACTTTCCAAAACTTAGCTCAATGCTCACTTCCTATCCTGACCTCTTCACCCCAAACTGAGGAGTCTGTGTGTTTGCTTTGCCGCAGTGCAGCTTTTAGAGACCATGCAACGTGTAATTTCACTTGTTTGGCTGTTTGTGTGCCTTTGTCCTCAACCAGGCTTTAAACTCCTGTTTGCCTTTGTACCATCAACACTTAGCACTCACTGGCATAGAATTGTCCCCCAGTAAAGATCTATGAAAGCAATTTATCTTAGAAAACAAATTCACATTTTTTTTAAGAGAGGCTATAATTCAAACTTGTCTTTATTTCTGAGAGATAAATTAAAAACAGCAGCCTTCTCAACAACACAGTGTCATATAAAGTATTTGTCACAGTGTCATATAAAGTATTTGTCATATGCTCAAAGATGGCCTGGGTGCTCTCTAGCAGTTCGTGAGAAAATGTCCTGGCATCTCCCAATCCAAACATGCTTTTTTCCCTGAGAAGCTGTAAGAGGACTTTTTATACTTTTCAGTGTTTTCCCCACAGGTTTCTTCAGGAGAAGCATTACCAAAAATGCTGTGTACAAGTGTAAAAACGGGGGCAACTGTGTGATGGATATGTACATGCGAAGAAAGTGTCAAGAGTGTCGACTAAGGAAATGCAAAGAGATGGGAATGTTGGCTGAATGTATGTATACAGGTATCAACTTCAAGCAATTACATTTCAGTAAAAATCTCTTAAGGAGGCAGATGTCAGGTAACTCATCATGAAAGTGCTTCACATATTAAAGAAGGAATTTACTAAGCCATCTAAGTTCTTGAAAAGGGTAATGAACCACTGAAATTGTCCAAACTGTCAACTAAAGAGCATTTTAGTCACGCAAAAGAAAGGCCTGTTTTCTTTGTTGTTGTTGTTCTTCGTTGCAGTGCACTATACTTGGACCCCAGGCGCATTAACATACTGTTAAAATAACATGCTTTAATGAGCTACAAAGAATGACAGTCTAAATATTTCCTCTAAATTTGATTTTAACATACTTATTAACATACAAATTCACTGCTATGGAAAAAAATAAGAATGCTTTATAAGGTATAACTGCATCTGAATTGTCTAAATAGAGTTTTAAACCAACTCATTTTATTAAGAATCTATCTTCTCTTAGTGCAGCTTTGAACCAATTTGTATAGGTTTACACCGGAAATTAACTACTCCCAGTTTTAATATAATTTTGTCCTTCTATCTGATAACGAGACACTGTATTAACTGCTGGCTTTGTGAGGAACTGTAATCTTCATCAAAAATTGGAATGCATGCGAGTATATAACATAATTAATTTTTCATTCTGCAAAAATTCTACAGACCACTGAGATTCTGAGATATGTCCTGTTTCTCCTCAAAACACAAATAGACAAACAAATGTCACCAAGGGGATGATAGCATTCAGGCAGGGAATGCCACATGAAATAAAAGCCTTTAGAAGGTGACTCCTATTCTATTGTTACCAAATTGTACAGGCAACTGGGATGGACCCAGGGAAATAATACATCCAGGTAGGGGGAAAATAGGTCTGTGTAAATAATCCAGCTCTGGGTGAATGAAAGTTTTATAGCAGCTGATCACAATCTCATTCTTAGCATACATGAAATAAGAGCCTGCAATAGGGTCTGCTGCTGGAATCCAATCTTGCAATGGAAACACTTACTCTGACCCTACACAGCTCATATTGCTTATCACTTAAATATGAACATATTCCAACTGGCGCTCTGAGGACATTTTGCATGAAGCCACATGTAGCAGTCTATATTTACAGACACAAACTTGTACAGTAACAGATGCAGATATTTTATGGTTCTATAAAATAAATTCCCTGTACAAAGCAATTCCTAGAACTTAGTTTTATTGGCATTGAGAGAAGAGTAAGGACGTTAAACGGGATGAAGGGAAGATTGTTTTACATTATTTTTTATAGCTCTCTTTAAGTGTAAATCAATGAGGTTGATTGTATGATCATTCAAAGACATTTTTTAAAGTCAACAGGTTAATTTTATTTTTAACTATATTCTCAAGAATTGGCGCTGTTCTGAAAATTAACAGGATTTAAAAATTTTCCCTAAAGGATGTTAACATTTGTTTTTCTCAATAAGTTTATGTGTGTTTAATGTGAAATTCAATATCCTTCTTGTGGTACAGTATGTAAACATGGCTGAAAATAATATTAATGGGATGTTTTAAAATACAAACTTTCAAGGTCCCCTAGAGCAGGAACAGGGAGAGTGTCATTCACTTTTTCATTGACTGAATACCTTGCATTTGTACAATGCTTTCATATCACAAGTTCTTTATATAAACCCATTTAAAAACATGACCTGAGGCTGGGCGCGGTGGCTCAAGCCTGTAATCCCAGCACTTTGGGAGGCCGAGGCGGGTGGATCACGAGGTCGAGAGATCGAGACCATCCTGGTCAACATGGTGAAACCCCGTCTCTACTAAAAATACAAAAAAATTAGCTGGGCATGGTGGCACGTGCCTGTAATCCCAGCTACTCAGGAGGCTGAGGCAGGAGAATTGCCTGAACCCGGGAGGCAGACGTTGCGGTGAGCCGAGATCGCGCCATTGCACTCCAGCCTGGGTAACAAGAGCGAAACTCCACCTCAAAACAAAAAAACAAAAAAACAAAAAAAAAAAAAACATGACCTGATTGCATTTAATCTACACATAACTCTATGAGGTAGATATTATTCTCATTTTACACATGAGGAAACAGACTCACAGAGGTTAAACTACTTGTTCAAGGTTAAGTTTTAAACCTTGGCCTTCTCTTTTTAAAATGTATAAAGGGCTAGAGTCGATTCTATGCCATTGCATAGGGGATCTTCTGGGCCAGGTACTATCAGTGGTTTTATGACCACACACCCAATAGTACTTTCTGTGATTGGTGAAGTCTCTGTGCTTATTTTTTTAGGCTTGTTAACTGAAATTCAGTGTAAATCTAAACGACTGAGAAAAAATGTGAAGCAGCATGCAGATCAGACCACAAATGAAGACAGTGAAGGTCGTGACTTACGACAAGTGACCTCAACAACAAAGTCATGCAGGGTAATAATATGCAATGGTGTCTGCCAAGACTGGCATGGAAGTGAGTTTCTAGGTACATAGTGAGCTGGCCAGGAGGCTTTCAAATTAAAGCCACAGACACAGCAAAACTTCTAGTCCAATTGTTCATTAAAATGGATTCCTGAAACATGCTTTGATGTAAATGTTCAAATAATAGCAGTGCATAAACTAAAAAGTGAAAATTTTCCTTCTCTTTGACTTCATTCCAGTCCTACTACCTTGTGTTTTCCAGCAGGAATGATTTGGTATATAAAATGGATTTTTTTCCAACTGAGTTTTAATGACCATTGTTTCCCTCTCTTTGAGAAGAAAAGCTCAAACTGGGAAGGATGTGGTCTCAGTAGAGGTTGTAGATTAGTCCTTATAAATGTATGAAACAGAATGAATACAATACACATCTGTGGACCAGTAGAGAAAAGTCCTACCCACTGAGGTCACTAATTTTTCAAGAAATCCATTGAGCAACTTAGGACAAAATAGGGGAACAGCCTCCAAGATGTTTAGACAAACACATTGTGATAATGTACAGAACATTTGATGGAATTTTATTCTGCTGTTAGCTGAAAAACCAATAAGCGCTCATATTTGCTGCTGTATTTATGGATTTTTTTTCAATAATTTCTGCTATTAGGTTTCTCCTGATGAATGCACATATAGAAAGAAGGCTTTATTCACATCTCCCCTAACACCTTTTATTTTCTTGCCAGTGTAGGAGAAAACTGAACTCACCCCAGATCAACAGAATCTTCTACATTATATTATGGATTCATATAGCAAACAGAGGCTGCCTCAGGAAATAACAAATAAAATTGTATGTATAATATCTGAAAATATGTGGGTTTAAAGTTAATATTTTCTGGAGCTCTTATTGCCTGGGAGATACAATTTATATGTGAATATGTGACTTTGAAATGATTAGAGCTGATAATTCTTTTAAACTCAGAAATATTAAACAATTCAGGAGTAAGAAGTCTCCTATCTATCTTGATAATGGTAATTGCTCTCCAAAGATCTGAGAAATAGTAAGATGGGTTTTCAAATCTTAGCATCTAAATCTAGTTTTTCTTGTCTAATGGTTTTATATTAATTATTGTTTTCTTATCTACTTATTAATCATTTGTGGTTTTTTTCTTAAAATTTAGTTAAAAGAAGAATTCAGTGCAGAAGAAAATTTTCTCATTTTAACGGAAATGGCAACCAATCATGTACAAGTTCTTGTAGAATTCACAAAAAAGCTGCCAGGTATTTTTAAATAAAAATTAATATTTATTGAGAGTTTAATTATGTGTCATAGATTAGATTATCTATTTTACATACAGTGTTTTGTTGAATTTTCAAAACATTCCTATGAGATCAGATCTCTTTTCAGTATTATTTTGCAAAGTATTTTCACATGTACTTATTTCGCTGCTATACTCTACAATAGTCTTGTGACATTGAGACAGGCAGGTCTCTTCTTTGTAAGATGAAAATCATCTCATATCTGATTTAAATTAACATGTCTAATTACTATAGACATAAGATGTTAGAACTGGAAAAGTTATTTAAGATAATTTATAATAGTTCTTCCAAATCAATAGATTAAAAATGGAAACTTTGGAAAGTCATCATTCACCCATTTATTCCTTCAATAAGCAGTTGTTGATACCTACTCTATACTGTGCCTAGTTATTACCTCCAGGGAGAGTGGTTAAAGGTGATAATAATAATAGTAGTAAATACACATATATACACATACACACAAAGTGCTGTATGAACAGAGAGGAACTGGTTGATAATTGTGTCTATGAAAGATGGAGAGACTTCAGGAAGAGTCATATTTGAGTTGAGTCTAAAAGAAAAAGAAGTTTTCCAGTTGGCATGGAGAAGGGGCATTCCAAGTTGAGAGAACTGCTTGTTTTTTTGTTTTTGTTTTGATTTGGTTTTTTGAGCTGGAGTCTTACTCTGTTGCCCGGGCTGACGTGCAATGGCATGATCTCTGCTCATTGCAACCTCCACTTCCCAGGTTCAAGCAATTCTCCTGCCTCAGTCTCCCGAGTAGCTGGGACTACAGGAACGTGCCACCATGCTCATCTAATTTTTGTATTTTTAGTAGAGACAGGGTTTGACCATATTGGCCAGGCTGGTCTCAAACTCCTGACCTCAGGTGATCTGCCTGACTTGACCTCCCAAAGTGCTAGGATTACAGGTCTGAGCCACTATGCCTGGCCGAGAGATCTGTTTGTTAAAATGCACTGAGGCATGAACAGAAGTAGGATTATTTGAGATGGAAGAGAAAATTCAGTATGGTTATAGCATAGTGTCGTGGTGGGCTCCTAGATTAGACAATAAGGTAAAGTTGGTACCAGACGGATAAAGGCCAAACTAAGGAATTTAATCTGTGTCCCCTGGTCAGTATAGAGATTTTGGTGTTTTTTTTTTTTTGTTTGTTTGTTTTGTTTGTTTGTTTGTTTTAACAGAGGGAAATGATGAAATTTTTGTATACAGAAATGACTTAATCAGGTTTATATAAGATGAATTTGAATGGAAATGGCCTGGGTCAGGGAAGATCAGGTAGTATGCTACTGCACAAGTCCAGGCAATAGGGCTTGAAATAAAGTAATAGTAATGGGGAAGAGAAAAAGAAACAAAAGGAAGAAAGATTCAAAAAATGATAGGGCTTGAGGAACAGCTATATATGTAAGTTGAGGGAGAGGGACTTACTTGTCCACAGTCATTCGGATGGTGTCATTATAGAAACTAGAATGTGGGAGTCTTCTTATATCCCAGCCTCAAATTCCTTTTGCCACATTATTAATGCTATCTAAGCTAATGGGTTTCAGTTGTGTTAGTGTTTATAAAAGTATTGGTGTATTGAAATCCCATGGTCTAGAAGAGTATAATAAATACCTTGTATAGCAGCATAATACTGTTATATTAAATTATAAAGGATAACTTCTGACATAGGATTTTAATTAAACATGTTAGTTTGCCTTCTTTTTGCCAGCATTATGCTACTATTTTATTAAATGTGTCACAGATAGGCATAGGTCTGCATAAAACTCATAAAGTGTGAGGAGAAAGTTCTATCATTGAAACACTAATATGCTCTCATTGCTTTGCTAAAAATGAAAGAGGAACTTAATTTACTATATGTTAATTAAGCTGAAGGCAATCTCAATAAAAAATTGGATTACATCAGCGTAAAAACTGCAGGGGAAAGAACTGGAAAAGGGAAATGTTTTTGGTTATTTATGGGAAAATATTTTTTAAGTTCTAATGGTCAATTGGTCTTGAATCAAGAAATAATTGAAGACAAATAAAAACCTTATTCATAAGAAGGTAGGTTATCTGAAAGCAATAACAATATCTTAGCATCTCTTAATTCTCAGTGCCTAGCCTAGTTCCTGAGGGAGAGAGTACAATTAGTGTATTCAATGAGTGAAGCAGAAGGAAAAAATTTAAAATATGGAAGGAAATACAAGGCAAAAAACCCTTGAGAAGGAAAAAACGATAATAATTACAGAGAGAGCATTATTATAAGTAGTAACATTAGTGATATAATACCAATACTGAAGGGATATTTTGTGAAAAACTGAATTGAGTCATTCCATTCAGTATTCCTTGAGCACACCTTGTGCTCAGCACTGTCCAGGGTGCTGAGGGGAATAAGGCAGGGCCACTTTCCTCAAAGAAGCTCTTAGATTCTCTAGGATGGTGGCTCAATCCTTAGTGTTGCTCCCTTCTCTATATACTCTTTGCTATTTAGTTCTTTTCTAAGTCATTTAGGCCTTGATGGTGTTATCTCTATTCATGTGAGTGTGTGTGCCAGCATGCACACGAGCTTGTGTTTTGTTTCCCATCTATTCATTCAATCTGTCAATTATCCAACACATAATTCCCAGGTACCTATTGTGTACCAGAACTGGGGATACAAAAGTAAACAAAACAAAGCCTCTGCCCCCCCAAGAAATGTACACTCCAGTAGAGGTGGCAGACAATTAGCAAATAAGCAAATAAATCTATAAGATCATCTCAGGTGATGATAAGTTCTGTAAACTAAAATAAAGCAGGTAGGGACTAGTAGTACCGGGGAGTGTATTTTAGATTGAGGAACACCAGAACAGAGGCTTGATTGCAGGAGGGAGTGGGGCATGGGGCATGGAAATATCTGGGAAGAACATTCATCTCTGAGGCAAAAACAGGCTTCTGCGCTCACAGCAGGGCCAGGGGGTCAGTGTGGCTGGAACACAAAGAGTAGAGGGAATGAGGAGTAGAAAATGAGTTCAGGAAGGCTGATGGGACTGTACCATATAAGCCTAGATAAGGACGTTGAATTTTCCAGGCAGTGTTATAGTCCATCAGGTTGGCAATTCTTCCCATATTTTTCTGATTTTCCTTCACCGTGTTTTGTAGTACTGAGTTCAGAGCAGATATATCAATGTGACTTTGACTGGCTTTTTTTTGGTGGGGGGGTGGAATACTACCCATTCTTTAGATTGACTAAAGACTCATGAGCTAGCCAAATAATCTGGGTGCATATAAAGTTTTTTTTCTGGCTTGTAGATGCTTCTAATCTGCAGAGTTGATCCTGTCACATCAGATGTGACTAACATAATGGCTCTAAGAAAATCTGCCTGTGTCTAGTTTCTGAGGGTTTCTTCATCTGAATCAGTCTGTCTATGCCATAATATAGCATCTGCTTGGACTTGACATTTCCCTTTGCCCAGTTTGTTTAATAAATTCTGCCCAATGAAGACAAAGCCTCTATTTTGTTGGCGAGTACAAATAGACTCAACTAGACTACCCAATTGTAAAACAACTACAAAATCACTTGATGAAAATGTTTTATCAACGGCAATTATGGTGATCATAAAATATTGTTACTTCTTGATTCCAATTTGATTATCACCATTACCTAGGATTTCAAACTTTGGACCATGAAGACCAGATTGCTTTGCTGAAAGGCTCTGCAGTTGAAGCTATGTTCCTTCGTTCAGCTGAGATTTTCAACAAGAAACTTCCATCTGGGCATTCTGACCTATTGGAAGAAAGAATTCGAAATAGTGGTAAGTGATTTGGTTAATGGTAAAGAGTTTGTTTCTATGAGCAGAACTGGTGTGCTCCATGAAGGCAGGGCCCTTGCCAATCTTATGCAACCTTATATGCCTATTGTGCCTAGTATGAAGATAGGCATTAAATAGACAAGACTTCTAGAGGCTTGGTTCAAAGATCTCTGTTGTAATAGCAAAATACCAAAACAACCCTCTTTACTGCACTAAGATGAAGAGCCAAAAGACTTTTGTAAAGATTAAAAAATTCATCTGATTATTAAATATAGCACAAAGAAACCGGATTCTTCAGCCAAGAAAAAGACTATTTAAAATCTTCATATATGAAAGACTAAGCATCCAGCTATTATCTATCTGTATCAGAATAAAATAAGAAAATCTTTTAATAGCAACTTTATATGTCATTTACTAGGTTTCAGACACTTTCTTTTCTTTTTTTTTCTTTTTTCTTTTCTTTTTTTTTTTGTGACAGAGTCTTGCTCTGTTGCCCAGCCTGGAGTGTAGTGGTGTGATCTCAGCTCACTGCAGCCTCTGTCTTCTGGGTACAAGCAATTCTTGTGCCTCAGACTCCCGAGTAGCTGGGATTACAGGTATGCATCACCACACCCAGCTAATTTTTGTATTTTTAGTAGAGACAGAGTTTCTCCATGTTGCCCAGGCTGGTCTCAAACTCCTGGTCTCAAGCAATCTGCCTGCCTCGGCCTTTCAAAGTACTGGATTATAGGCTTGAACCACTATGCCCAACCAAAGTTAACTTTTTTTTTCTTTTTTGGAGACAGAATATTGCTCTCTCTCTCAAGCTAGAGTGCAGTGGTGTGATCTTGGCTCACCACAACCTCTGCTTCCTGGGTTCAAGTGATTTTTTGTGCCTCAGCTTCTTGAGTAGCTGAGACTACAGGCATGTGGCACCATGCCCAGTTAATTTTTGTATTTTTAGTAGAGACAGGGTTTCATCATGTTGGCCAGGCTGGTCTTGGACTACTGGCCTCAAGTGATCCACCCACCTCAGCCTCCCAAAGTGCTAGGATTACAGGGATGAGCCACCGCACCCAGCTGGTTTCAGACACTTTTCTAAATACATATATGATTTCATCTAATATTCTCAAACATTTTGTGAATAAGTACTATTATCATTCCCTTTTTCAGATTAAGGAGCTGAGACAAAGAAAGGTTAAATAACTTTCCTCATGACAGAGAGGAAGTCTGACTTCAGAAACTTTGTGTCAGCTGGGCGCAGTGGCTCATACCTGCAATCCCAGAATTGTGTCTTAACCACTATGTGATACTACCTCTCAAGAGACAGAATAATAGCACAAGTTACTCAATATTTAACTTATTATGGAGTATCACTGTGAAAGGGAAGCTCAAGAGACATTGAGATGAAATACCAAGAATTCTGTGCAATTTGTCTTAGGCGATCCTTAAGATAGGATGAATTCTTGTTTTCCTGAGAGATTTTATATATATGGGTTGGGAGTGGGGATTGAATGAGTTGACTTCTCAAGATCTTTTCTTTCTAAAGTATAATTGTCTTATGATTAACTGAAGCAAATTTAAAGACTTTTTTTTTGAAGCAAGAGTCTCGCTTTGTTGCCAGGCTGGAGTGCAGTGGTGCAATCTTGGCTCACTGCCACCTCTACCTCCCGGGTTCAAGCTATTCTCCTGCCTCAGCCTCCCAAGTAGCTGGGATTACAGGCATGAGCCACCGTGCCCAGCTAATGTTTGTATTTTTAGTAGAGATGGAGTTTCACCATGTTGGCCAGGATGGTCTCAATCTCCTGACCTCATGATCCACCTGCTTTAGCCTCGCAAAGTGCTGGGATTATAGGTGTGAGCCACCATGCCCAGCCAAATTTAAAGACTTTTATAAACAATATTTTAAAGCCGGGTGTCATGGCTCAAGCCTGTAATCCCAGCACTTTGGGAAGCCGAGGCAGGCGGATCTCTAGGCCAGGAGTTCAAGACCAGACTGGCCAACATGGTGAAACCCTGTGTCTACTAAAAAATACAAAAATTAGCTGGGCATGGTAGCTAGTGCCTGTAATCCCAGCTACTTGGGAGGCTGAGGTAGGAGAATTGCTTTAACTGGGACCTGGTAGGCGGAGGTTGCAGTGAGTTGAGTTTGTGCCACTGCAATCCAGCCTGGGCTACAGAGCGAGATGTCATCTCAAATATATATTTTATATATATATATATATATATATATATATATATACATACACACACACATATACATATATATTCATGTACATATATACACCACGTGTGTGTGTGTGTGTATATATATATATATATATATATATATATATATATATTTTAAAATAGAGATTAGAGGGAATGTTTTCAGGCTGTTCTGTATGAGTGATATAAGTGAAATAATTTTAAAAATTGAAAATTACTTTAAAGGTAGTCTTTTCACAGTCACTTATGTTTTTTTCTTCCTAGTTAAAAACAAAAGGTATAATTAGCATCATTGGTAGATTTAAAAAACATCACGAGGTCAAGAGATAGAGACCATCCTGGCCAACATGGTGAAACCCCATCTCTACTCAAAAAATACAAAAAAAAATACAAAAAAAAAGTTAGCTGGGCGTGGTAGTACACATCTATAGTCCCAGTTACTTGGGAGGCTGAGGCAGGAGAATTGCCTGAACCCGGGAGGAGGAGGTTGCAGTGAGCTGAGATCCCGCCACTGCACTCCAGCCTGGCGACTCCGTCTCAAAACAAAACAAAACAAAACACACACATACACATACACACACATACCCCCCTTAAAAGATGCATTATTCTTAATATATTCATTAATTTACCATTCTAACAAATATTTAAGGGCAAGGTACTATGGTGGCAGTGAAGAGAGAAATTAAGTATTTTCTTTCCCCTAAGAAACTTACAGTCTAATGGGAAGAGATTAACTGTCCATAATTATGATAAAATATGGAAGAGAAAAACAGAGAGATGATAACTCCTAGTTGAGAAGGCTCTGAAAAAGTTTTATTGGCATTTGATCTGGGACTTAAATGAGATTTGATTTGGATGCTCAGGGCAGAGATGCAGGAGAGAAGTTACCAGCAGGAGCAAAGGGAAAGAGGCAAGAAAACTCAGGGAATGCACACAAAGAAGGGTGAGTAGCTGAGTTGATTGGATAAAGGATTACATTAAAGGGAAATGGAAAGGAAAGAAAGAGAATCAGATGATTGAGGGCCTTGGATGCTGGGCTAATGATTTTGTTATTTCCTAAGTAATAGGAGACACAGGAGATTTTTTGGACAGAGGAGGTAAAATGTCAAAATCAAGCTTTACAAATATTCTAGCAGTGTTAGGGTAAGCCAGGACTCAAGTCATCTCTTAGGAGGCAAGAAGTCTCAAAGATATGATGCTTGCTGCCAGGAGAAATGGAAAGAAAAGAAAGGATTTGAAAGATATATAGTGGCTTATCAACCTTCAAAAGACATTATATTGTCAAGACATTTGGATTTTGGTCCTGGACAGGTGTTATGTGTGTGTGTATGTCCCCAGGCTAAGGGGAAAAGGCTGAATCAGGTAACCTCCAAGGCACTATTCAGTTGTGCAAGTCTTACTGCTTTTCTTCTCTTAACCAATTCAATTTTCCTGAAGAGTGGTTTAGCTAGTCACTCAACCAGCTACTGAACTATCCTGATTTTAAAGCCACAGTCAATAACTGACAGTTCAGCTTAGGAAAGAATTAAAGGACAGGCTGAATTTTCACATGTATGGATATAATTGTTGATTTAAGCTATTGAACATATACTGGTGGTTCTGTCTTTATGCAGAAAATTACAGTGGCTTTAACTTGTGATGGGCAAGGCCTCAGGAGTGTAGCTTTGTTGTATATTTGATTCTGGCTTCCATGGACTGTGGTGGTGCTCCCTTAAAGAAAATCCATCAGTCTAATCTAATCCTTACAAAGCTAATAAAATAAAAAGGAATGATGACTCATGACAAAATTTCTTCATTTTACAGACAGGTCTCTACTCTACCCAATGTGTGTTTGGTTTATTCATCAAGAGACAGTGGTGATTAAGGATACTACTGACTCTGGAATCTGGCTTGACTATAGGCTCCATTACTTATTAGCTGTGTGTCCAGTTTTTTTTAAAGCTGTTGAAATAGACCCATAACCAATTTGATCTCTTTGAAATCATGTTTAACTTTAATTTTTATTCTGCAGTCTTGCCTGAAGTTTGATAATAAAAACATAATACGACAGGGTATTTCCCTTTTTGAGTCAGTAAGTTATCCCAGGTACCAGCATATGCCTGGCTTGGACAGGGTGCTCAACAAAATTCTGTGGAACAAAGGGAAAAATGAATGGAGGTTTGTCTGGAGCTGTAAAACTGGTCTGTTTATTTACTTTTCAGTTGATTTTCCCCTGAATATTAGAGTTATTTAAGTCCAAAGCTGACAAGAAACCAACAAAATGTTGGTTAAACATTCTTCTAGACCTTGCCTGTAGTAGTCAGTTGGGGAACAGGTATCTCTTTTACATTTGAGTGTAAGAAAAGGAAAAGGACAGTTTGTATATGGAAGTTTCTGTTTTGTTCCCTTTCCTCCTTCTCCTACTCAAAGATGAGTCATTTAAAGTTGATTCAGGTGCCAGGCAATGAAAAAGAAGGGTACAGCATCTGCCATATGAATTGAAATATTTTGATGAGAGGACGTCTGAAAGAGAATTATCCAGTGGTTATTTTATCTTTCTTTCTCTGTCTCTTTCTCTCTCCTGGATGCTCAGCTTCCTTTAAAAAAAAAAAAAATCTCCCTGGCTCCATCAGATCTCCTGGGTCCTGAGCTAAGTCAGATGCTGCCATTTCCATAATGACCACTGGGTTAGTTCCAGATTCCTTCCCGAGCCTGGTTGAGGTGGGAAAAATCCTTTCCACCCTGGTTCAGCTGAAAGGGGGAAAATGGTTTTCCAAAAAAGTTTACAAGACTGCTAAAGGGAAAATTATGTTTATAGAAAGGCATATATAAGGCTG